TCGCAGATTTAGCAGACCCTAGTTACATGCTTTTATCTTGTTCTTGCCATTGACTTGCAGTAGAATCTTTGATTTTTAATAACTCACTTAAAACTAATCTGATAGACTGTAAGAATTACATGTAAGAGTTAAAGGTAAAAAGCACTACTTGACTGATCATGAGTTTATCCACTAAAAACAGCAAAGACTTACAAACAAGTTTTCTTTCAAATTCTTCTTCATTTTTGCATTTCTCCTTCTCTGTGTTGATTGTTATCCCACCAAAGCTACACAAAAAAAGGAAAAACGAATTATTATCACTACTAACTTTACATAAAAAACTTTTTTTTAGACAAGCCCAGACTTCCAGCAGCTGTGGCCTGTCTCATACCTTTAGTAACCACATATTTTCCTGGAAAGGGCTTTCAAGGTGATGTCTCCTTATTAGCTCAATATTAATCATCTCTCATCATAAAATGATGTAGGTGATGTTGGTGTGAGTGGAGAGAAAAGTGAGGGTGAGGGGGAATGTACTAGGGATCAGGGGTGGAAAGGATGAAAAGCTTTACAGGAATAAAACACTTTCAGGTAAATTAGATAGGTGTCTTGCGTCCAAGCGATGTATCCTGCCCAGTTTTAACTGTGGATATCTAAACCCCTCTACCGGTATATCAAATTAAACTATACCAAGGAGTTTGAAATAACCTGAATTGATGCATTTTTCACATCCTCTAAATGTGAGCGTCTCAAGAGCTCAGTTTGCAAGTCCATGATAAATCAAGAAAACCTGACGCGTTCATCAGAATTCAATGATGAAAAATGGTTTCACCAGACTCATTTTTGATTTATAGACACCTTTAAAGTGAAAACTAAGGTGGCTTTATAACAGTTTCCAGTTCTTTTCATCAGATGATACTACAATAATGGTCGCACAGAAATTCCCTACCCTAAAAATACTTATGGTCAACCTTTTCATAATAGATTACCAAAGGATCAGTACAACTGTTAATAAAAACTGTGGAATGGCTTCAGAGCCACCTTAAATATTTGAAAATTTGAGTCTGAATCCTGAACCTCCTAAACCAAAAAGTTGTATATTATCATGCCCAAATTCACGATGTCACTTACAATAAAAAATGGAGTCACCAAGCTCCTTTCTGAAAGATAGTTTCAAAGCACTTAAACATGACGGTGCTTAAAGATAGCGTTAACGGTGCTTTGAAGTGGTTGTTCTGTTGCTATGGTAATCTATTATGCCATGAAGATGACCAATGGTTGGGCATTTGTGTGATACCAATATTTAAATACCATTTGATAAAGAGTGGTACTATTGATCAGTCAAATTAAAACTACTGGAAAGAGCATAGAACTGTCCTTAATTGAGGGTGCTTTTCATTGGTAATGTTGTGGCTATGGTAACCTTTTACATAAGGAAAATGACCATGATTTGGTTATCAATGATTGGGTATTTGCTTAGTGCCTATGTTTTAAAAAAAGAATTGTAGAATTGATCCATCAAAGTAGAAGTAAAATTAATGAAAAATCTTAGGAAATGTCCCCCACTAGCTTGCGAAACCACACTCAGTGTCCAACAGCTTCAACATCAATCCGGCCAACCCCCCCCCCCCCCCCCCCCNCCCGAACCCCCCCTACCCCTGACTACCTGCCACCGACTAGAACACCTTTTATCTACACAGTTATACATTTTCTGTTGTTAAGTGTCTCTGGGATAATCAAATGCTATTTTTTTTAAATCAAGAAAACGGAGATCAACATCTCCTTATGTAAGCCGATCACGAATATACATGATTGTAACCTTCATCACTCTACACATTTCTTTGTATCTTGACTCAAAAGTTTGTAAGTAAATCATCTAATCTTACATGTCCTTGATTCCCTTGAAATCATGCGTCTCTTCGTACTCATTTGGAGAGGGTTCCAAATACCCTTCGGCGTTCAGTGCCACAGTACTGCGATCAGTATTGCTCATACTCGTTTGTGTCTCCTCCGATGTCTCTTCCCGACGAAACGCGAAATGCGCCGGTATTACAGTAACGAGGACTAGCGATATCGGGGAGGACTGGCTCTAGTGTGCAATACCAAGATGGCGAACAGAGCTTGGATAATTTTTGTCTCATCACCTTTGAAATTTATAGCCTTTTGTGGGGATCGGTAGGATCTATTTCCTGAAATATGAAGCTGGTGGCGAAGAGTTTCGAGAAAGACAGCTCGGGGTAAGCGTTGAACAGTCCACAATATGAAAGATGTTTTTTTTGTTTTTTTAACCTGTACGTAAATCTATTGTAACTAGCTTAATTTTGTAACAGTGATGGTTTTATATATAGCAAACTGTAGTTGTACGAGATAACTCATAAAATATTTGGAAAAAGCTCAAGAGTTGCTTTCGCAGTATTCGCTTTCGTAACTAGCCTCATCATCTTACCGATTCGAGTCGATTAGCCGCTAACGGTTTATCCTAGCTCCCAATTAACTAGAAGTGGAAAACACTGTCTATGTTTCGTTCGTTGAGCGTGAATAATCGCCTTCTGGTTGGGGGCTAACCGACTTGGGGCTAATCGACCAGTGGGCTGGTAACAGATAACCTTGTGGCAACCTTGTGGTCGCTGGTAACCCATTTGAAAAGCTTTTCTGTGCTGTCTCTTTCGGAGGTAATGTATGCAGAATTGTGCGAGAGTCCCTTCAGAAGGGTCACAATTCAGACTGTATAATTGATATTTATTTGTTTGACTAAACATGTGACTTGTGGCTTTTTACAAGGGTTTTAATCCTGAGATGATGGATGTGTTAATCATAATTTACCTGTAAATAGAATTGACAACTTAATGCGTTACAAGTGTATGCTATATATTTGTGTTAAATATGCAACAAAATAGGACAGCTCACCCATCTACTCAGTGGTGGTCAAAACTCTAATTTTGTCATATAGGAGAAATAATTTGTGCATAATGATTATGGAGTCTTACATAGAACTGCTCTTGTCCAAGCGGATCATGTGTACTTAAGACATCTGTCGGTCGAGTATCAGTCAATATGTTCAAGACTGAGTGTCGGTTGATGTATTGGCCAATGCTCAGTCCACATGTCAACCGAGAGTTGGTCAAGTGTCGATCGACATGTTGTTCAAGTTGGTAGAGCGTCAGTTGACACTTGCACTATCAGTCAACACTTGGTCAGTATGTCAATCAACAACAAGCTGACACCTTGACTGTTACGTTGTGATCAACAGTCGGCGACATTAATCAGTCGACTGTCAGTGGTGTATCCTTTGACTGTCAAAGATATATGTTGGTGGTACATCTCCGAAAGTTAGGTAAAAAAATTGTGACCTCTATTGNGATCTCTGGTGGAAAGACTTGAAAACAGACAGAAAAGTGTGCATGTTTCTGTCTATTCATGACTTCATGTTTTCAAAGAAAGAAACTGGCAGACAGTGAAAGGTAGAGAGAGAACTATTGCCTGCACTTCTGTATGTTTGTTACAGAATCCTAGTGGAACTCATTTTTGATGCTTAGTTTACTGTATCACCTCATACAGTAAATGATATTAAATTTCTCAATACTTAATTATTGGTAAATTTTAGGTTTGTTGTCTTAGTACCAGAGGAAGCTGAAGACATGTGGCATGCATACAACCTTATAGCTGTTGGTGACCGTCTTAAATCAACCACTATCAGGTTAGTTTAAACTGTGCTCTCATGTACTGGTATCAGCCATATTTGATCAACATTATTTTGTTATGAATAGAAGAGTAAAGTACATTACTACTCACAGGAAAGATACGAGCTGAACATGTTGTGTATGTCAAAGCTCTTCTCTCAAATCTATTTCTCATTTAAATGTACATGTTGATTTGACCTGAGTGTGTAAAGAACTGGTGAATTCTTATAAGCAGTTATCAGTGTAATGAAGCTGATTGTATGTAGTCTGATTTGAAAACATGGCATGCATTTTTCTGAATGGAAAGTGTGAAGTTAATAAGCTCTAGTTAACTGTGCACAGCAAGAAGACTAATAATAATAAATAATAATAATAATAATAATAATAATAATAATAATAATAATAATAATAATAAACAGGTATGTGTTGTAAAGATGGTGAACACAAAAAATTGAGACTTAGATATTACTCTGTAAGCCCCCTCTAAAAGTATATTTGTGTTATTCAACTTTGTGCTATTTTCTATTTGGGAATATGCAAACAGAAATGTTTGTAACACCAGAACATGCTGGTGTTGACCCAGTCCTTGGTGAGTTCAGCGTACCGTATTGTTAGAGAGATTGAGGCCTGACGAAGTAGAGCCCCTGGTCCTGCGGGTTGGGGGATGGGCTTTAGGCTAATCACCTGATCGATAAAAAGTATATGTGATTACAGAAACCTTGGCGTTATGTACCACTCTGGCTCAACTGACCAAGATATTGTAGCCATATCACGTCAGTGACTTGATATCAATGGATATCAAGACAGTAGATATGGCTTCTGATTGGCTGATTGTGAATTTGGGTATGGTAATGACTTGACAGTGGCATTATAATTCATGTATGTCTGTAAGTGTTGAAGAATGTAAAAACAATGGTGTATTAGGATGTTGCGATTTTCTCAACTTTCCAGGAAGATGCTTCTGGACCCTTAGCAGAAATAAGACTGCCCAAGGGTCCCTTCACATTTAAATTTGTGTTGAGGCATTACTCCATAGCAGTTAAGAAAACGTTGCTACAAGTTGTGCATCACTGACATGTACACAACTGTATAGATAATTATAATATAGATAGGACCCTGCACGTGCTCTGATTAGTCAAAAACTCATGTTTTGTCAGAGTATAAAACATAGAAAAAGCGTGTTTTATTGTTTTTAAAGAAGCCTAAGCCATGTATTTCACTGTAATAAAACACTCTGGACATTTGAGAACACTCGAGAAATGTAGAAACCACTTGTCTGCGGCTCATGTTTTCTACATTTCTCTTGTGTTCTGAAATTCCTGTTATGTTTTATCACAGTGTAATACACAGCTTAGGCTTCTTTATTTGTTAAATAAAAACTCTTTCATTATGGCAATTGTATCAACCATAAGGCATATCCCTGGCTACTTCTTTTGTTTCCCCATGTACTTTAAAATAAGTGACATCTCTTGAAGAGTCTAAATACAGTACACAAAGGCATAGTTCCGGGTTTCTCTGTTTCAACAAAGGATACCCAACATTTCAAAGTAAGTTAGTAGTATATGAGTACTTGTACCTTAAAATGGCAGTAAATAATTGGAAAATAAGTAAGTTTATGGCTGGACAAATGTCTACAACATGAGAGATGTCATTCTTTTAATTAACACAGGAAAGTACTGAGACATTTATACCCAGACTAAGCCAATGTGATGAAAAAAGTTGGCACTGTGAGGCCTTAGGTGCTTTTCATTAAAAACTCTGTGCATTTAGTGATGCAAACTTGTTTCTATTATTTGCCAGGCGAGTCCAAACAGAGTCTGCTACAGGATCAGTAAGTAGCAATAAAGTACGAACTACTCTGGCGATAGCTGTGGAGGGGATTGAGTTTGACACTCAAGCATGTATGTTGAGAATAAAAGGGCGCAATGTGGAAGAAAACCAGTATGTTAAGGTGGGAATTTCTTGTTTACCTTTGTTTCCTACCAAGAGCTGTTTCCTTGCACTACATTAAAATTAAGACAGTCTCTCTTATAACCAACCTGCATGTCAATTTTTGCCTTGTAATTGAAAATTGCAATTTCATTTTATACTTGAAAACCATCTATTCATACAAGCATTGGGCAGTAAAAGTATCAATACTGGAACGGATGCACCGTAAGAGGTTCACTCTTCCTGCTGCCTTCTTGTAATTTTTTTGAAAATGAGTTTCAAAATTAAGTGTCGGGTCCAGATGCATGCCGAGGTACTTATAACATGTAGTGGTGTTGATGGGAAAACCGTTGACTGAGAACTTGACTTGACAGCCTTGAAACAGATTTAACCGCTTACCGGTACCAAACAGCATCACCTCAGATTTTCCTTTCTTCAGATTAAAA